TACGATATACATTTTCCTTCGAAAAATTATAAACCGTTTTTATAATAAGAGTCGTGCATTATACACCGAGTTCTTGATGAAGAAGGCTTCACTTCCTAAATCCCGTGTCTAACGATATGATATTGCCTTTGGTTTCACTGTCGAATTTTGTTTTCATCGATTATGTAATATCATCTACCAGAAGAGAAACTAAAATTATTTAATAATAATAATAATTACAATTAAGAATAAATAGACTTGTTTGTTATTGATTTCGCGCAAAGCTACACCAGGGCTATATGCGCTAGCCGTCCCTAATTTAGCAGTGTAAGACTAGAGGGAAGGCAGCTGGTCATCACCACCCATCGCCAAATCTTGGGCTACTCTTTTACCAACGAATAATGGGACTGACCGTCACATTGTAACGCCCCCACGGCTGAAAGGGCGAACAAGTTTGGTGGGACGGGGATTCGGACCCGCGATCCGCACATTGTGAGTCGAGCGCCCTAACCACCTGGCCATGCCGGGCCTATATAAATAGACTTAATTATGAATAACAAACAAATTACAAAACGTTTCTGTGGTCACTCTACCCTAGGTTATTAGTTGAGTGGTATTCCTTCGCTGCTAGTAGTATTTTCGGCTCTTAATCCAATCAAATGAAACTAGAAATGAGATGATAACAACAATTGTTGGAACATGATTGAAACCATGTACGATTATGTTTGTATAAGCTCTAACTTTTTTGGGGTTAGTACGTACCTTTCTTGCTCAACAGGAATCAGTTTTTACATCTTTCTGTCAATACATATTACCTTATTTTACTGGTTAATTATCTCTCATTTGTTCTTTTCGTCCGATTTCCGTGTAACCGCTCCACATTTATCGTGATTAATACTTCTTTTATCAATTTTTGATTAACTGCGTATCGTTTTTGCACGTTACTGAATAGTAACTTTACATTTTATTTGCTCAAGGTATATCAGCTCCACATCTACGTGGATCACGTTGTCCAGTTCTATTGAATCCAGTGTCACTGTGGGTCAGTTCTACATCTTCCTAGATCACGTTGTCCAGTTCGACTGAATCCATTTTCAATGTAGGTTGGTTCTAAATCTTCCTAGATCACGTTGTCCAGTTCAGTTGAATTCAGTCTCACTGTGGGTCAGATCTACATTTTCTTAGATCACGTTGTCCAGTTCGACTGAATCCAGTCTCACTGTGGGTCAGATCTACATTTTCTTAGATCACGCTGTCCAGTTCGACTGAATCCAGTCTCACTGTGGGTCAGTCTACATCTTCCTAGATCACGTTGTCTAGTTCGACTGAATCCTGTGTCACTGTGGGTCAGTTCTACATCTTCCTAGATCAACGTTGTCCAGTTCGACTGAATCCATTTTCAATGTGGGTCAGTTCTGCATCTTCCTAGATCACGTTGTCCAGTTCGACTGAATCCAGTGTCACTGTGGGTCAGTTCTACATCTTCCTAGATCACGTTGTCTAGTTCGACTGAATCCAGTGTCACTGTAGGTCAGTTCTAGATCTTCCTAGATCACGTTGTCCAGTTCGACTGAATCCGGTGTCACTGTGGGTCAGCTCTATTTAAGTTACCGACTCCAAAAAGTTTTAGCGTTGAAGTAATATATCACAATATTATTGTGTCTAAAAGTAACTCTTACAAAAGTGAGACTTAGGAAACCAGGAAAAAAACAACAACATACAGAACTGGAGACATTTTTGGCTACAATACTTCGCCACCCTGAAAATATCCAATAATTATCCAATCCCAAGATTACAATTAGTCAGTGTTAACATGTATAAATCAAAGACTCGCTCCCAGAATAGTTATATTCTCGTATTTTAGCGATCTGCGACAATTGTCACTTGCGTCATTATTATCATGTTTAAAAACAGTTTTGACAAATAAATCGACCTTTTCTGGGTTCATGATTTTTCAATAATGAGTACCTAAAAACTTGAGGAAATTTTTGAAATGTGATACTCAATTACAATATTCGATAGCATATATAAAACCACCAGACTGACCCATTAATTAAACACGTGTTGCATCTAAACGGTAAAAAGTCCACTTACATTCCGCCTACAAGATGTGATATTACTTTATTTCTATATTATTTGTTTTTTTATTATTCATTAAGTGCAGAATCAAGAAAACTAAGCTACTTTAAAAGGATTCGATTTATTAACATGTTTAAATAAATATATTAATTAAACGAAGGTTTCTAAAAACACAGTATAATCATTTAAGGAAAGCCTTTCGTCACTATTTGGCGTCAGAATGTGATAAACCAATCTAGTCTCAAATAGCAATGAGTCTCAGCTTTTCCTCATTTGTTATGTCTTCACTTCCACACAGGCTGATAATGGATTGTGCTTCTTGTCAACTCGACATTTAGTAATTGCATATGATTTTATAGGGTGTTATCACATTTCTTAGCAATTAAAAGTTTTTTCACTGTTCATGTGATGTTACCAGCTATATAGACCCCTGGCGAGTTAACCTGGATGCCAACTATGTTGAGGATACCAAAGGAACGCAAATAGCTTTCGTAAAGCCTTCAAGAATTTGAATGCTGAGGGGCAGAAAGGCAGCTGCAGTCGTGAGTAGGAACGCTATAGTTACGATTCATACATGTGAGCGCCAGGAATTATTTATAAACATTCCTGTCATATTATAGCCTTTTTAAAGGACTGGTTGACCGATGTAGTCTTATATAATGTTATGCTAACTTCTCCAATAATCTGGCTCCAAAATATTTCGGTCAATTACTTTCCGAAGAACCTGGTAACAAGGAAGATATTATGTTAATTCACCTCCAAAGAAACATGGCACCAAAATATTACAGAAGGTAAATTAATGAAGAGCTTGGCACCACAATATTACATTAAATTATTTTTCAAAGAACCTACTTCTTGCCCTTGCTGCCCCCCAGTGGTTCAGCGGTAAGTCAACAAACTTACGACGCTAAAAATCGGATTTCGATACTCGTGGGGGGGCAGAGAACATACAGCCCATTGTAAAGCTTTGCACTTAACAAAAACCAACCAACTTGCCCTTGCTACAATGTTGGTAGCTTTCTATGCTCATTTTTATGGTTTGATGATTGTCACTTTCTGCTTCATGTTCTTACTGTGAGGTTGGTAACTTTCCATGTTCATCCTTATATGGTTCGATGATTCTTATTTCCTGCTTCATGTTCTTGCTGTGAGGTTGGTAACTTTCCATGTTTATCCTTCTATGGTTCGATGATTCTTATTTCCTGCTTCATGTTCTTGCTGTGAGGTTGGTAACTTTCCATGTTTATCCTTCTATGGTTCGATGATTCTTATTTCCTGCTTCATGTTCTTGCTATGAGGTTG